TGTTGTCCCATGAGCAAGGGTTAAAGAGATCACATGTGGAGTTTTTGGAAGCCTGCTACACAATAGTAAAAACTACCATCTGTCACAAACTTACAGGGTGGCAGGACCTGCTCTAAGTGCTTTGTAATCCTTGCCTCACTTCATCCTCACAAGAACTGTATGAGGATATCCTCAGCAGCCCTGCATTATTATTCTCATCTTTACAGGTGAGGAAGCCATGATTTAGAGACAGCTGGGAACTCCAGGTAAAAACTGGCCAGAGAAGGGCAGAGTCTGAACCAGGCCATGGTCTTCACCATCACACTATGTAGACAGTATATTCCAGATATAAAAGGGGGATGGAGAACGGGTCCTAGGAGTAGAAGTCCTAGCTGTCTGCACAGGGGGCTGCTCACACAGCTCTGAGTCAGTGGCATCTCCAGCCTGCGTTGCCCACAGAAATTCACAAAACAGCAGGCAAACCAAAGCAGAAGGAAGGATTGGCAGGGTACTGTGGAGTTGGGGTAGTTCAGCACAGCCAATGACCTTTTAGTTAAGGAAACAGGATGTTTCCTATGGTGAGGGATGTGATCCTAATGAATCAGGGGGAGCACACATCCCTACTGACCTGCCAGCCACCTCTCCCAGGGCCTCTGTTTCTTTCTACCCCAAGCCCTGACTCTGCATTGCTGGAGTTTGGAGAGACTTAAACAGGTAATGAGCAGGAACTTGGAAGGTGAGTGATACAGTGGCTGGTCTGGTCTGGACTTGGATGTGGAGCAGGGATAAGAAGGACCCCTCTTCTGCATGTATGTGCATGAGGAGCATGACTTCTTCCTCTCCTGCATCTTAGAGGGATCATCAGGCCTTCATTAGAATCAGCCAGCATCCTTCTAGGCATCACCAGAAGCTGTCGTTTATGGCTTTCGAAGGCAGCTGCCATCTTGATCAAGGACCAGTGCTGAGAATATGGTCTGTATCCCCTAAGGATGGGTTCTCTGTTTTCCTGGTAAATTGATCATTGATCAAAACCAAGGCATATAGAAAACTATAGGTTATATTTTTAAACAACCGTGGTTGTATTCATTCCTAGATAATAAATTGTTTCTCCTAGGGCACTGTGGGATGTTAATGCCATGACTTTCACTTGGGCCTGAAAACTCTTCACCACAGCAGGTGGTGTGGGAACCAGGCAGCACACGCCTGGCACAGAGTTGGCAAAAGGCAGGTCCTTTCTCTGACCCTCCAAATCCTCCCCATTTCTCGCCTCGATACTTCCCCTCCTTCCACTTCCTTCTTTCCTAACTCTGTAGATTTGCACTGCCTTTTTCCACCTCTCCTCCTCTTTAGTCTTCCCTTTCTTCCCTAATCTGACCCAAAGCTAGTTCAGGAAAATTAGGACCTTCCACAAAATGCTTCATATTGAGTGTAAATAGTCAACAGTGTCCTTTTTAAAGAAGGCTTTAGGTCAAAAGAATACGTCTCCGTAGGTGAAATGTGAGATTTCATACATTCATTATGAACTGAGGGGCCACCTATTAGGTTAAGTCCCTTATACCCTATAGCAGTCAAGATAGTCTTGGCTATGCATCAGTAACAAACAGCCTCGTACCTTAGTGACTTAAAGCAGCAAAGTTTTATTTTTTACTCATACTACACAACCATGCTATCATCCAGTGGCTTTGCTCTGTGCTGTCATTGTCCTCACTCTGTGATTCAGGCTGCTGCTCTCTGGAGCATTACAAGTGACCACACCACTAGCACTCATATTCCATTGGCCCAAACCAAGTTGCTGGGTCACCTGAACTTTATTGGGGTGGGAAACTGTACTCCTTCAAGAAGGGGAAATAGCTATTGTTGAACTGTGATATAACCTACCAGATATTCCTATGCCTGGGTCTAACCTCCTCTGACTGGGCCCTACCTCCTCTACCTGGGTCCAGCGTCATTTATGAGCCTTGGCTCATAAATGGATACCCTCAGCAGCCCTGCAGGCTCTGGCTCAGTGTTCAAGGTAGGAGTTCTGCTAAGAGAAAAGTGAGGCAGGTTTAGAGAAAGTGATGGTGCAGATGACCTGCATCTGCCTGCATTTACTCTGCTCAGTTAGGAGCAGCTCTACTAATCCAGGGAGAGATTTTGACTACAACACCATCTCTCTTTACCTGTAAAAGATAGCCACTAGCTGCAACTCAAGGAATTAGTTTTCTAAAGATAAACCATTTATAGGAGAGGGCGAGCGGCCTGATTTTGAAGGTAATGGAGTCACAGTTGGGAGACCACCCAGTGGCCAACTTTGTAGCTGACTGCTTTCACTGAGTCTTGCTTTCTGTCCCTCTCCCTCCATTCATAGTTGATTGAGCAATCTCTCTGAGTGGGTCACTGTGCTAAGCTGGGGTAATTTCAAATTCAACTGAGATGTGGTCTCTGCCTTTAAGGATCTCACAGTCAGCTGGGCACGGTGGCTCATGCCTATAATCCCAGCACTTTGAGAGGGCGAGGGAGAGTAATCACTTGAGGTCAGGAGTTCAAGACCAGCCTGGTCAACATGGCGAAATCCCATCTCTACTAAAAATACAAAAAAAAAAAAAAAAAATAGCTTGGCCTGGTGGCACACACCTGTAATCCCAGCTACCTGGGAGGCTGAGGTACGAGAACTGCTTGAACCCAGGAGGTGGAGGTTGCAGTGAGCCGAGATCATGCCACTGCACTCCAACTAGGCAATAAAGCAGGACTGTGTCTTGGGGGAAAAAAAATCAAAGATCTCTAGTCTAATGACCACAAAAAGTAAACGATTTCATAAGGTGTTAGATATTTACTTATTTTGCAATGGGTAAATTAGGCATTATTCTAAATTTGTTATTAAAGCTCCAGGATGGGCCCACTCTTCTTTGTACAGTTTCTGTTTTGTTTTGTTTTGTTTTGTGAGATGGAGTCTTGCTCTGTCCCCCAGGCTGGAGTGCAGTGGTTCAATCTTGGCTCACTGCAACCTCTGCCTCCTGGGTTCAAGTGATTCTCCTGCCTCAGCCTCCTGAGTAGCTGGGATTACAGGTGCCTACCACCACGCCAGGCTAATTTTTGTATTTTTAGTAGAGATGGGGTTTTACTATGTTGGCCAGGCTGGTCTCGAACTCCTCACCTTAAGTGATCTACCCACCTTAGCCTCTCAAAGTGTTGAGATTACAGGCATGAGCCACCATGCTCGGCCTGTAGAGTATCATTTGTATGACTAATAATAACACTGCATGCATGTATGAGCCTTCATAGCACATGGGGTCTTTTTCATTTCAGTTGTCTAAATCGACCTGCCCCAATCTTCTGGGCTTTGTAGTATAAGTAGAACCATCTTTATTTTGTGGCTAAGTAAACAAAATACAAGAGAAGCAGCCTGCTCAAGGTCATGGTGGTTGGTTCTGACAAAGTTTGAGCTCAGATAGGTAAGGGAATCTGAGGCCCTGGTGGAAACTTTGTTGTTCAGTTTCAATGTGCACCTTCAGAGTGACATCACTGTCCCCACTCAATCTGAGTCTTTATTTAGGAGAAGGGAAGAACATCTCCTTCCTGTTCCTGAACTATACTTTCCTTGTAAGCCTGATCTACTAAGAAGAAAAAAAAAAAAAACAAAAAACAAAAAACTACCACTCTGGTTGATTTCAATCCATTTGGTTTGTTCTAGGTCTTGAGGGACCTCGGTTTTCCCTCACAGGTGCCCCGTCCATTCAACAGTCACTCCACGCTGTACATCATCCTGTGGCTGGCCATGCTGATGGTGCCTCCAGAGGCCGTGGATTCTCCATCTCAGACTGAGGGATGCTCTCTCCTCAGGAGCTCCCTCGTATCTCAGAAGAAATTGCCTCTGGAAGGTGGGACAGTGCTGAGAGCAAGGCCAGGAAGGACCCTTGTGGACATTCCCCAGGCCACTTCCTGACCCTTCTCTCTGTGCCCTCCAGGGGTCCCATCCTGGGTGAACTCTTCCCCATGCACATCTCAGGGTGTGAAGGCTGGAGGAGCTTATGGGTGGGTGGGTGGGTGGGGGCAGCAGGGAGGCAGAAGAGTGGAATTTGCCTGAAGTTTCATCAGCATTTGTGTCCTAGCATCTGCCTCACCCCTCCCCGTTGTCCCCACCCCACACTCCTCCTTCCTTTCTTGCTTCCCTCTTGAGTCTTCCCCTTTCAATGTTTCTGCCTCCTGTTCTTTATCCTGCTTCTCTCCTGATTTGCTTCTCTCATGGCTTTCCCTTTGAATAAGAAGGATGCTGGAATATTCATGGAGTCATTCAGCCCACTGTCCTCCACCTGCTGACCCGAGGCTTAAAACATGGACAGATCTGCCCAAGGTGGCCAGGTGAGCCAACAGCAGAACCTGCAGAGGTCCTGGTTCCTGGGCCAGGGCTCTCTGTGTCATGCCAGTGGCACTGGCTCCCCACCCCCCACCTCTGAGCAGCGTGGGCCTTAGATGGGCGTGCAAGGCAGGTAGCGGCATGGGCTCCTTCCCTCTGGCCCTCCTCACTGCCACTCTTTTCATTCTTTCTCCCTAACCCACTCTACCCCAGGAACACAGTTGGATTCAAGATCTTCACTCTCCATCAACATACCAGGGGAAGTAAGCTGATGGAATCATTGGTCACAAAGGTGTCGCTTGCCAGGAAGACCTGAAGCAGAGATGGCAATGCTTGTGTCATCCCCAGAGCTAACTCTAATGGGCAAGTAGCAAGTTCCTGGAGGGCTGCGTTGAGAGGGATTCTGGGACTGACTGGGCTGCGTAGGAAAGCGTTGTCTCCTAACAGCACTGACTAGTAACATGTTTACTGTCCCTGGCTTGAAGTGTTGCCACCTCGGGATGGCTGCTTTGCAACTGAGAACAGTCTTAAGTAGAAGGACGCATCTCTGGCGGTTGAGTTTAGATGTCACACAACTGCAGAGAGAAGGTGCCAGACATGTGTCTGCATGCTGGAAGCTGTTGCCATCTTATAGCCAGCCTTCTCCCCCAGCCCCTCCCAGCCAGTCACATAGAGAGACCCAAAATCCCAAACTGCATTTTTATTATTTTTTAATAAACTTTATTCTATATTACAAATAAGTTTTTTTTTGTTCTGAACTGCAAAATAGGAATGCCTTATATTTACATACACAGGTATACAATTAATTATAACAAAGGTACAGAAGCTTGCCTTTACCAAGTTACAACTGGGCTCCAATTTAAATAGCATAGGTTTCCTTTTTAAAAACTTTTTTAAATCTTTTTTTTTAATATCTTACTAGGATACTCTTCTTTAAAAATCAAAACCAGAAGACCCTCTTCTTAGAGATCTCATCCACATATATTTGAGGCTCATTTTAACACTGTTGTCTAAAGATATGTTTTGCTTTGTTCTAACAAAGGGCCAGCGTTCGAGGTGGGAGCTTTAGTTTGAAACAGAAGTGGGATGGGACTGGAAGGGGGTGACTGGAACAGAGATAACCTGCTCTAACTCCTTCAGCGGCTTCTCTATGTGACTCAGACTCCTGCCGGTTCCTTAAATCACCCATCCATCCTGTTTCTTCCCTTCTCCTCTAGCATTTGAAGCTCAACTCTGGGTCATCTGGCCAGGCTAAAACCCCTGCATCACCCCCACATGTCGGCTCACTGAGCCATTGTCTGTTGCGGTACCCTGGAGTTGCTAGTTGCTACGGTAACTCGGCAGGACCCTGCTGGAAGAGGTGGACTGGCCCCTACATGCTAAAGTGGTGAGGAGGGCAGCAGCATCCAATCCTTCCTTCCCACCTCGGGGCCTGGGGGCCTTGTTCCTGCTCAAAGCAGCCAACACACGACTAAGCAAAGACGGCATGTCTCAAGGACACCAGGCCAAGGTAGGGAGTGGTGAGGGGAGGGCCGTCCGTTCTAAAACACAAAATCATTGGTTTCCAAATGGAAACAAGATTATTTGAGGTAAGCTAGCTTTTCATTTTAAAGAACAGAAGGTCTAGCAAGCCAACAAGCTAACGAGAACGTTGGGGAGGGAGAGGGAAGGAGGCGAGAAGATGAGCAGGTGTATCCCATCTTCATCCTGTGCCTGGATTGCGACTGACCTCTGTGCATGAAAGCATTCCTTAGTCCTGTTTGGTGAAGTGGTCTCAGTTTCTTAAGTGCCCTTTGGGTTGCTCTTTAACTGTATCCTCTGTTTTAAATTCTACTCTTGTAAGGGAGCCCTTCCAAAATGTGCTTGAGTCAAAAGATCAAAGATACTAACAAAGGAAGTTCTAATTCCACATAAAGAAATTGGTGGAAGATGAGCTGCATAGACCAAGTCTACTTACTTTTGCAATCCTGGCAGAGGGAAAACTTGGGTCTTCCCATGACCCATCCCTAACAGAGCCTCCCTAAAGTCTGAGGAAAGCTAATAAGAGATGTATAGGATTCAGCAGTACCAGGGGCAGCCCAGAGAGCCAAGCATAGACATCAAAGGGGGTGAGGTTCCCCCAACCCAGGATTTTCAGCCTACCTCACTACCTCTGCCAATACAAACAGAAAGTTCTTTTTGTATATGAAGGATTTTGTTTCGTTTTGTTTAACTTTGCTTTGCTTTGCTTTCTGGTAGTCACCAGTCTACTCAAGGAATTTAATTGGGATCCTAATGAGTATGTCTTTCTTTTACAACCCAAAAATTCTATGTATTTTTACAACTTGGATACTCCCTCTAATAAAAAAATAATTTTATGGGGGAGCAAAAATTTATAGTATTAAAAAACCTCTCTCTTGCATGTCTGAAACTTTTACTACAGTGGATTACCTTCCAAATGAGAGGAGTGGTCATTTAGGTTTCCTGTCGAGAGCATGCCACCCTCAGCACCATGAGGAGAGGTTTGCAGAGTGTCCCAGCCTCTCTCGAGAGCTGTGTCAGTGTTACCTGGGGCTGTGTCTCAGTCCCCCGTTCTATAAAACAAGGCTCTTGTTTCCTATACAGAGAATGCCTGTAGGGTGAGGTGGCGGGAGGAGGGAGGAGAAAGACTCCATCTGTCAAATGTGTGGGGAAGCACCAGGAATAGCAGCAGCCATGCGAGATGCCACCCCTAGCATTGTCCTCATCCAGGGAATGTCCTGACCCATTTTTTTTTTCCTTTAGTGTGGGAGGCTCTTCCTGTCCTCTGAGGTTCTCCTCATCCCCTTGTAAGTCATGGGTTTTGCTCCCACTAACCAAGTAATTTGGACTTAACATCCATAGCAGGGCTCCCTTCTTACTCTCAAACTCTTAAAATATACAAACAAAAACCAAACAACTCCAAAATCCTAAATAAATGGCCCACAGTTTTGTTTTTTAACGGAAGAGGCTGAGGGGTCAAGTCCTCCCAGTCACCTGTCCTGAGAGCTGGCAGGAAGAGGGGAAGAGGCCCTTGATGTAGACGAGGACCAGGAGGGATGGCTAGGGGAATTTGGGGCGTGGGGAGAAGCCAGGGCACTGAGCTGCCTGGGGTGGGTCTTCTCTGGGGGTCAGCTGAGCTCCTGGAGGTGAGTCATTTACGGAAAGACCCCTTGATGGCCTTGAAGAGTTGGCTGGGGCTGCTCACTGGGTTCACTGTTCCTGGAAGGAGCAGGGGAAGTTCCCGGAGAGGAGCACCTCTGGGCCTTGTGCCTGCAGAGCACCTTCCTACCTGTGTCTGTCTTTACCTCACTGCTCAGCTGTCTGTGAGGTGGGAGGTTTGTCCTTGATTGATAATACTGGCCCTACGCTCGGTTAAGTATTTGACTTCACATTACTGTGTCCCCTTGGTCCTGGGAAAGATGACAGATGGAAATTGAGCTTTTCTTTTTAGGTCACAGAGGGTGGTGCTGAGACCTGGGCTCATCACAGCATCGTTCACGGCTCTGGAAACAGTGGTGAGGATGCCTCTTGCAGTGGAGGTCATTTGGGAAGTCATTACTTGTGGATCCTCAGATGGGGACCCATAGGGCCTTGACCAGATGAGGGAGCCCCCACAGCCAGGAAGGCAGCTTTGGGTGGGGTGGGAAGGGGCTGGGGCAGTCACAGATGGCTGGGCTGAGAGGTCTGAGCAGCTCCTGTACTAAGTGGATAAATGGCCCTGGGACAGAGGCTATGCGTGTAGGAGAGACAGGGTGGAATGGGGAGGGACAGAGAGGATGCTCGTGGCAGGAGGAGCACAGGCAGAAGCCAGACATGCAACGGGAGACACGGGTACCAGGGACCTGGTTGCGTGGGGGAGGAGGAGATGCTGGGCCAGTACATTAACCTTCACTCCTGGTGGGCGCAGGTAGCTGGGCCTGAGGGGACCAGGTCAGAGACCTTTCCTGTGGGTAACTCCTGCTTCTTTTTTTTTTTTTTTTTTTTTGAGACGGAGTCTCGCTCTGTAGCCCAGGCTGGAGTGCAGTGGCCGGATCTCAGCTCACTGCAAGCTCCGCCTCCCGGGTTCACGCCATTCTCCGGCCTCAGCCTCCCGAGTAGCTGGGACTACAGGCGCCTGCCACCTCACCCGGCTAGTTTTTTGTATTTCTTAGTAGAGACGGGGTTTCACCGTGTTAGCCAGGATGGTCTCGATCTCCTGACCTCGTGATCCACCGGTCTCGGCCTCCCAAAGTGCTGGGATTACAGGCTTGAGCCACCGCGCCCGGCCTTGGGAACAGTCCTGGACAGTCTGCCTCAAACTTTCGGATTTATTTAAAATGACTTCTCTTTCACCCATAGCTCCTTGCAAGCACCCAAGCTCACTTACCAGGCTGTGGGTGCACAAGGGGGCGGCTCTAGGGGCTGACTTTGGGTGCGGGGGTCATGCTGCCATTGGAACGTACCTTGGCCTGTGGGACACTTGGGTTATCCTCTGTCCCCAAATTTAAAACCATATTGAAAGAAGGCAAGAAAATATTTTCCTGAGGAAGTAACTGGCACGATGGCCGCCTTCACTTAGTGGCACTATTATTTGCAGCTACCAAGAACTGTCAGGCTCTCTCCTTATGGGGAAGGACAAAGAATGGGCAAAAGCTACATCTGGGGGACTCGTGCCCAGGAGAAATGACCAGCCTACAGCTCTGTCTTCCTCTACTTGTTCCCTAAAATTTAGGACCCCACAAAGCCCCCTCCTTCCCTGCTACCTTAAGCCCTTCTCTCTCCAACATGCAAAATCCCCACCTAAACTTTGTCAGTGATTTTGATGACTCAGTCTGGTACCTTTTTCCCTGGAAGGGTACAGGGGGTGAGGTGGAGGGAAAGGTGAGGGAGATGGCCTTTTCTCGCCTTCTCTCTGCCCAAGACTCAACAAATTAACTGCCTAGAGGGAGGCCGTGAGGGGGCCTCCATTCCACAGGACCAAGTTGGCCCAATTCCTTTCTCTGGGAGCCTGCAAGCCACCTGGGCAGCCCCTGGATATTTGCTCTGCCATGCGGGGGAGGAAGATCCCTGGGGGAGTTTGGAAAATAGGTTGGGGTGGGGGAGGGCAAGGACAGCTTTTTGACAATGTTGCCTGTCTGCTTTTAAACATATCACATGTGCACAAGAATCCAAATGGAAGAAATGGAAAACAAACAGCAAAAGAAAACATAACATTTTTATAAGCAAGATGGGCTGTGGCTCTGGATACCTGGCTCGGATTTCTCAGTCCCCAAGCAGGCCATGGGGACTGCAGCAAACAGAGCCACAGAAACAACCCACCCACCAATTAAAGTCAAACCGGCCCCAAACCCCTCCCCAGGAGAAATGGGGACAGCCAGAAAACTTGTCTGTCCTTGTCTCCTCTTTCTTCCTAACCTTTCTATTTCTGAGGTGTTTGAAGGTTTTCTTATAACAAAAACATGGAAAAAAATAAAGTCCTGTACCGTGAAAGTAACAATAACAATAATCATCCGGTAAAAAATAAAAGCTTCAGCAGAACTGTTATGAGTGTCTTTTTTTTTTCTGCTTGTTCAATTTTTTTCTCAACTGTGCAAAAAAAAAAAATCAAAACACACTCACTCATACACACGTTCACACACGCAGCTTCCATCCAGCAAATCTGTGTTAAATATGTTCGTGTCTCTTTCCTCCCCAACCCTTCATATGTGCAAAAATATTTTAGTGACCGAGGTACTTCCTCAGACCGTCTTCCACATGCACCCTTTCTGGCCTTCCAGGTCCCGTAACTTCTTGGGAGGGAATAAAATGATCAAGGATAGAAAAATCCAAGCTTCTCCACCTGGTACTGCACTTGCCAAAACCTTTGGTTATTTTTTCTTCCTCTTCCAATGCATTGTTTCCCATTTTCCTCTTCCCGTTAGGTTGCTCGTGTCTTTTCCACCATCTGTCCTTTGCGATGTCACATGATGCCCTGTGCCAAGGTCCAGGCCTCGGCAGGTGACCACCCTGATTTCCTATGGACAAGTGACCTCTCCTTCCACCCGCCAGTTCTCAGCATAGAAAGCAAGGGTTGAAATGTCCTGAAGCTGCAGGATGAATGGATGAGCAAGGGGAAAGAGAAGGGGAACACCGAAAATCCTCCTACAAAGGACAAGGAATCCTTTTGCGCTTTCTGCCTACACCTGGGGCAGACACACACACGCATGCACATGCGCTCACACACATGTGCACATATTCATATCCAAAGGGGCAAGTGTTCGTAAAAGTACTGGATGCTCCATGGACTTTGCTGGAGATGGTGTGGTTTCTTCCCCAAGTGGGGCTCATTCTGAGAGGGTGACAAGGAATGATGTCTGATGTTTGGGGAGTGAAGGCAAGACTGTGAATCCTTCTCCTTAACCTCACCTAAGATGATGTTTCTCCTTGTCTCCCATAGTGGTGAACAACTCCAGAGCAGAGGTGCCAACAGAGACTCCTGCTTAGGGTGGGAGACCGGACCAGACAGCACCTAAGGTCTCCTTAGGATGAACGGTTCCTAAAACCCTCCATTAGACCATTTCTCCCCATATCCTCTAGCTTACCTAGTATCCATTTCTAGGCACACATTTGCCCACCTGGCTAAAATCGTGCATCTGTAGATGTAAGAACAGATGGGGAGATGGATGCCAAGGCCGAGGTCATTTGTATGTCCCTCTTCTCAATTCCAGCCAGGCCCATCAGCTCAATTCTTTGTCCCTCCCAGACCTGACAAGCTGGAGGCTGAGGTTGGCTGGCATTTTGGGTGGTCTCTGTGAGGCTGTGCTTAAGTCTGTTTCTTTCAAGGATGACTGCTGAAGAGATGAGGAAGGAGAATGATGAAAGAGACAGCTGAGATGTTGATGAAATCATTCCCAAAGAGGTCTGGACAGCCCAGTGACAAAGTCATCTGCATAGCAATGGCACCAGATTCTGCAGAGGGAACAGGGACTAGGCTGTTAGCCCCAGCCGTCTATGGAGTTCTCAGGAAGGATGGTGGGGATGGAGCCATGGAGATGGCTGGAGGTAGAATCTCCTAGATGCACTCTGCATTTCACGTTGACCCTTGATGAAGGGTGACAAAGGAGGGTGGAGATAGATGCTTTCTCTTGACAGCACTCAGGGCTCTGGTAATGGACTAGACCTATGATTATGATCGTGACACATTTGAATTTGGGGGTAAATGGAAAACAACAAATTCTGCTTCCAGGGTAGATGCAACTCTCCTTTTCTCCCCCACTGTGTTACATTTCTGCTGCTAGGATTCAGATGAAAAGGTTAGGAGCATCTCCATGGTGGAATGTAACTGCTATTCTTTCTCCTGCCTGGCTTTCTACTGGCGGGGGAGCAGGCGGGGCAGGCAGGTCCCTCTAGAGACCTGGAAGAGGACAGGAAGCCTCTGGACGCCATCCCAGCGGGGGAGAGGGAGCCTCAAGGAGCACCTCCCAGCTGCTCACACATGTCCTGCTCCAGCTACATGCAGGAGGTGTGGCTTTTCTCCTCACAGCTGCAAAGCGATCAGACCACTGGCTGAACCACTGGAGATGGAACTGTGGGAACGGAGAGCCAGGCGATGTCTTCCCAGTGAAGATAACACTGAACTACTTCCTTGCCTCTTCTCTAGGCCAAGGCTCAGATCGAAGCGGCGGCTGCCAAAGTGGAAGGCGAAGTAGCAGCACAGATACGTCCGCTGTCCTTGGCTCCTCATCCTGCTGCTGACATGCACAGGGTCAGGAGCAGCTGGGGGAGAGAGGCCCCTCTGACATCTTCTGGTCAGTTCCCTTGCCATGGGCCTGGCCATTCTTGGACTTACTGAGGGTCAGTGGCTTGGTCCAATTGTGTTGGCAGAGCAACTGGAAGAGAAGAGATCCAGGAAGGAGGGAGAAACAGAAAGAGGCAGAAAGAGAGAGCGAGAAAGAAACAGCGCTGCTCAGGGGATGCTGCTGATGCCAGTCGGAACTTGCACTTGGTAAAGATGATAATCTAGACTGAGGCACGGCTTGGTGTGTCCCCCTCCAGGGCGGCCCTGGAAGGACGGTTCTCAGCTGTCTAAGCTCATGAGGGTTATGACTTGTTCTAGTTTGTAGGCCAGTTTCTGCTTCCCACACTGGTCGTCGTGGTCCAGAGGTCCAAGGATCTGCGGAAGGGCCAAGAACGGGGAGGTTACTTGTTCGTCTGTATAGGTCTGTGTTCTCAGGAGGCACAAAGATGGTGTGGATGTGGTCAGAAGCCCAGGAAGCCACAGGCACGTGCAGGGGCACACTGGACACTGCTGGGTAGGAGGAGGCCCGGGCAGCACGGGTGGGAAGGTGTGGCAGGCACAGCATGTGGGCATCAGCATGGCAGTGCGCACAGGATGCCAGCACACATGGTCATGTCTGAATGACTGTGCATTCTACTGGCTACAAAAGATGGTAGACAGAGGGCAGAAACTCTGTGGAAGACGCCTGTGCCGAGTTGCTGCAGTTACCTGCAGGTTAGACAGCAGCTAGTTCCACATCCCATGGAGATGTGTAGTGCTCAGCATGGAGCCGGAATGTGATTTCATGGATGTTAAGACATCCCACCCTTCCTCCCACAGAAATAAAAATCCTCCCCATCAGCTCCCTGGGGCCCCAGATTCTACATTTAGAAAGTCATTTGTTTTCACTTTGCCTGTTAAAAAACAAATATCACTAGAAGAGTAAGACTACAAGCTTTCCTGGCCATTAACACCTAATGGATAATGTCTACCAAAGCCTTTTCTGAGGGCAGGCAGTTAGCAGAGGACAATGACAGCCAACAATTGTGGCCCATAATGAAAAATGTGTTAGAATTTTACTCAGACTCAGGAGATGAGGGATTGAGTAAAGGCTCTGCCAGTTTCTAGCTGGGTGATCTGAGGCCAAACAGGTAACCTATCTGAACACTCAACGTCCTCAACTGTTAATATAGGAATGGCTAATCCACCTCCAGGGGACAGGATGTCAGATAATATCTGTGAGCACCCTCAACACAAGGCCTGCCCTGCCAGAGGCACTAGACAATTGGGTGGAACCTACTGATGTTGCTGTTTGAGGGGGCAGGGATAAGAAGGGAGGGTAAGGGGATGAGAAGGAGGCTGAAGGCTCAAGGGAGGCACCCAGGGCTTTGGATTTCATGACCCAGTTAATGTTTCTTTAATTGGGGAGGCAAGATAGAGCTGGCCAAAAACTCATTTGTACACACCATCATTTCATAAAGATGGGTTATTTAAACACCAAGGTAGACAGTTGTACTTGCAGACTAACAGAATCCTTTCTGAGATGAGACAGTTGGAAGCTTACACTGGTGCACACTACAGCATCCTTATTACGTAGCATTGCCACAGACAGGGGAAAACTCTGTCCCAGACCAGTACTCAGCTGCAGACTGCCATCAGGGTCCCTCCCCTAACGGAGCCAGCACTGGCTTTCCCATGACTTAAGGGCTACGGAATTAGGCTGTTCATGGCCTGCAGGACTCCAGGCCCTGGGCCTGCTGGGTCTGCTTCTTTAACCAGGGGTTCCTGGACTCTCCTTTAAGTAATGAGGATGGGAGGAGAGAGAGAACTCAGGGCACGAGCTTCAGCTTCTCTTACTACCCTCCACTCAGAGAAGGTGGCTATGCTGCTGCTCAGATGCAGGGAATTTGGATTCCAAGGATGGCCAGGCCCAGGGCAAGAGAGCTGACTAGAAGCCCAGGAAGACAGGCCTCCTCTTACCCAGCAGTGCTGTGTATGGCCCTGAACGTGCCTGTGTCTTCCTGGGCTGCTCCCTTCCTGGGCTTCCTGGGCTGACAAGAAGATGTCTGAGGGTCCTCTCTCTCCAAGCTGCTCCTGACCCCATGCATAGCCAAGAAAACTCCCATAGCACCATGGCACTGGCCAGAAAGAAGGCCTTGTCTATAGTGGCAATGACCCCAGGTGGGATTTTCCAGTGAGGGAACACAACAATGAAAAACACATTATATTTCTCCTGTTCTATTCTATTCTATTCTATTCTATTCTATTCTATTCCATCCTGTTCTCTTCTATTCTATTCCATTCTGTTTTGACTCACTTCTGTTTCATTTCTAGTCTATTCTGTTCCTATTCGAGTCTGCACCATATCATACCATACCATGCCATTCCATATAGCCTGCCCATAGGAGTGGGGAGGTGCCTGTTTAAAGAGAGTTAGATCACAGAGAGATGTGGAAAACATAAAAAAGAAGAAATACTGGAGAGAAAATAAGAATTAAAAAAGACAATATAAAAGAAATAGGTACTTATTTATATATCTAAGAAGCACAGGGATGAATGCAGAATTTATGGGTTGGAGGGTTTCTAGCATTCCAGCCTTTGGAATACAGCCCCAAGTCCTCAGTGGTGGTTCCCCCAGCAGAGGTGGAGGTGTCTGTGGCGATGTTCTCTTACATGGAGGCACGCAGGGTTGTCTTCATTCTCTGCCCCCTTCCATCCCAATGGGCCTGGAGCAGGGCAAAGCTTACCTCTTCGCTGTATTTGCCCACATAGGAGAAGATCTCTGAGAGTGCACTCATGGTGTTGAACTCATTCATGTGCATCCGGGACTGCTCAGCCAGGTATGCGTTCATGTCTTGGTCGCTGATGGCTGGCATCTTCCCTATGTCAGAGTAATACCTGCGGAGGGATGGAAGTAGGGAGAAGCTGGAATCATGCATTCGGAGTAGAGGAGAGATGGATGCTCCCAGCACCGTGTCTGGGGCCATGAGCTCAGCGTGCACTCCAGGTAGTGGGTACCTGCACTGTGACCACCTGGGGACCACTGTGGTCTCTCTCTCATCTGGGTTGCTGGGTCCAAACCAGGAAGAGCCCTCTACAGCTCTGGATGCACGAGGCATAGAGGGAAGGGATTTGGGGAGTGGCCAAGACATTGTCTAAGGGCAGACAGGAGAGGAACCGAGAGCCAGAGGGGCCCAACCTCAGGCATGCTCTTTGCTCTCAGCTACCACACAGAGAGGTCTAGGCCGTCTTGAGTTTCTCTAACACCCCTTCCACAGATGCAAGGGATCTCCTCCAGCAGGGCCCGAAGGCTCTTCCAAGCGGTTGCTCTTCTCTGATGTCCTCCGCTCTCGGGGGGCTCAATGGGAGGAGGCAGCGCTGAGGCTGCTAGGGGAGAGACTGGCAGAAGGCAATCAGTCACTGTCACTTGCAGCTGTGCACTGCTGTCAACTGGTTAATTAGATGCCAGCATTTACATTTTTAATTTCTGCAATTTGACATTTTATGCACCAAACCCCAACTCCCCCGCCAGAGGGGAGTTGTGCAGTTTCTTAATGAGGAACTGAAAGGCCTCAGTGCCCCCAAAGACAGCCACTTCTCACCCTCTCCTATGCACTTTTGGGCTTGTGGACTGCATAAAAGAGAAGAGGTAACTACAATGACGGGGGGCATCATAAACCTCAAAGCCCTGTGGTGGCCCGGCTCAGCCTAGCCCAATCCAGCCCATGCCAAGTTCCTGTGGCTGCCATGCTGTAGAAAGTAAACCTAAAACCTAGGATCAGAGGGGATGGGGGAGGACAGTCTCCAGGGCAGGGATTAGGGTGCATCAAGCAAGGCACCTAGGCACCAAGTTTAAGGAAAGACACTCACCCTCAGGGTTGCACAAGCAGTGGCGACAGTGGCAGACCCTGGGAGTTCTCAGAACTCGAATCTTGGTCAGAGGCTCTGGGACAGTCTCCCCCTGAACCCCAGCCCTATCCTTCACTTCTCCAACCCGGACCCCATCAGGCTTGTGCTGTTTCCCTGACCTCCAACTGTTCCCATCAGTGCCCAGGAGGTGGGTGAAGACTGGCAGAGATGGTTTTCCTGTACTGTCCCAGTCATCAGCTCAAGGGCCTGCAATGGAATGACAGCTCAATTTGCCCCACAGCATCCCTGGGCTAGTGAGGGCTGGAATGGCTTCCCTGCTCTGAGTGGTACTGGGATTGCAGATCTGTTGTTCTGTCTGAAAAATGGGGAGGCAGAGGGAAGATGACAGCTGTGCTCCCTGGCAAGGGAAGGGGCTGGTCAGAAGGGACTGCCCTGGCCACATACCGGACATTTTGCCAACTGCTTTGTTGCACTGGCAGCATTTTGGCTGGGCAGGAGCCTGAGACAGGCAACAAGGCCAAGGGTGTAATAACATGGCCTTTCTCAGAGCAGCCTGGCTACTCAGACAGGCTGCCCTGCCCCCATCTCATTTGGATTTCCATCCTTCACATCTTCTTCCATTCCCCGCCCCTCTTCCACCTTCAGAACCCCCAAGGCCCAGTACCCCTTCCTGTTTCATTTATGCTTTCTTTGCTCCAACCCCAGAAGAGCCTGTTCTCTTCAAGGCCTATCACCTGCCACAAAACACATCCTCAGGTACCTTAGGACACAGGGCTCTGAGTAATTTAATGACATTCCAGGTGTACAATTACAGCGAGACTCGATTCACTGTCACCATTTCTGGAATGCAATAAATGCCAATGTTCCATTTTACAGTGGGAGACCAGAGATTTCAGTAGTAGCTCCCAACCTTGCCATTCCCAAGGAGATTTGCGTCACTGTCCCCTTAGGGATCCCATGTCTGCCAAGCAAGATATGTTTGTCAAGTAAAGGGCTATCTTCACAGGCTGTATTGGTAAAAAGTGTGAACAAATAACCTCACTCACTTTTGGTACCATGGCCAGCAGCCAGCCATGCAACTCTGGTAACTCAGCTGAGTTCCAAGCTTCCACCAGACAGGTATACTCTGTCACCTGTACACAATCAGAGCCTCTGACCAGGTGAAAAACCCAGGTTCCCGTGGAAAGGACATAACTGTCACCAAAAGCAAAGACTCCTGTTATTTCTCTCACCAGCTGCGGAACCTATCACAGTAGGCAGGCGGCTCTGTCAGGCTTTTTGCAAACAGTGCCAGGGACCTTCTTGCTGCCTTTATAGTCCCTGAGGTGTAAGGAATCCTAGGTTAGGAGCCACCGTGTCTGCAGTGAAGGGACCATCGCTAGGGGAAACAACAGAAGCCCAGCGCTCTGTGCCTTCACAGCGGCTTGCCTCATGGCAGCGCACTAAAAGCCCTATCCATTTCCCCAAAGAGAATATCTAGAAGTATATATATGTGTGTGAGACAGACAGAGAGAGCTGCTGGGGTGGAGGGCAGGGAGTTGAGAGTAGGATAGGACAGGGCTGGGGCCCTGACCATCTCATCTAGAGTTACTGGGTGACGTGCCTCTCCTGAATATGTCATCCTCTCTGCGAGGTCAGGTCCTTGCCGGGCAGCTCCTGTCTCTTTCCTGTCGCCTTTGCACTGGAGAGGCTGGATCAAACCAGGGCATGTCTGTGGCCACACACTAGTGACAGGTGGGCCAACTGCGTGACCTCATCTTCAGCAAGTTCTAAATCAGCTGAGCTGAGTGGCCACTGACAGCCCAATGTCTGTGGGTGTGGGGCTTAAGTCTTGCTGACAGTCTACCCTGTTTTTGATCCCAAGCCTGCCTGCTGCTAAGTGGTCCCCTCTTCTCTGCAGGGCTTTGCCAATGCTGTCTTGACCCCTCCTGCTCCCCCACTCCCACTCCCTAGCAAGCACCTTGTGCCTGATGCCAACTCATATGGTACTACCTCTGCCGGGTGAACCTTGCTTCCTTCTCGCTCCTGTTGTGCTGGCCCCTGTGCTGGGCTCCTCCACTGGGAAGCCTTATTGATTGGGAAGAACATAATTAAGCCCTGTTAAGGAACTTTAAACAAGCATTCTCATCTGCTGGCTGTGCATTGAGGAAGGGAAAAGGGAGCCTGGAACCCTGTGCTTGAACTTGCTCCTGTGGGCGTTCTGCCTGCAGGTGAGCCCATCTCCAGGAAGTCCTTCAGGACCCCTCCGAGCTGCCCCAAGCCTGACCTGCTAAGAAGGAGCTGGTCCCACCACTGGCCTTCCCTAGTTCTCTTTGCTGACCTGCTCATAGCAGGGAGGAGGCCAGCACCCCTGAGGTCCGGACATCAGGCCTCTGGGAGAGGCCATAAAGATCAACACCCCACAGAGCTGCATCCTCCACTGTTGGCTGCAGGGTCCTAGGGTCCTAGTCTGTGGATTTCTATGGGGTAGTGGGATGCCAGCAGAAATCCTGGCCCCAGAGAGTGACCGTGAGTATCTAATATCTGCCTTTAGGATAGGTCTGTAGTGATTGGGAAGATGGTCTCCAGTGCCCTAAACTCTTTGGAAAGAACACAGTGTTGGCATCCCTCCACACACCTTGAGGATGAAGATGCAGGAGTGAAAGATATTTCCAGCCTGATGCTCTGATATCCCCAATATGTACCTTTCAAGAACCCGCACAAAAGTCTTTTCCTCTGTGAATCACGGGAGGGTCTCTCTGGGCCCAGCAGAAAGAGGCCCCACACCCTGAGTTACCCACTATGATGCTCGTGGGGTCTGCTGAGCATCTGTCTGTGTGGCCTCCCCGACCACAGGAACTGCAAAGAAAGGGTCAAGTTCAATGCATTTCAAGTACCCAACTCACTCATGATGGATACCATTAATGTTTGACCCATGAATTAATGAATATGTTAATGAAATGTCTATATCTCACCTCTAGTATTGCTCCCAGGGCGAGCTGTCACCATTTTATGTATTTGACTGGATGGTTTCCATAGGAGGCATATTTAAATATTTAAAATTCTTAACCTTTTTCGTGCCGTGACACACATGATAGATGACATTCAAATGTGTGGCACACTCTAATCCAAACCCCAGTGGCCTGCTGCGACTCCATTATACTTACTTCTTAAAAGCTGACTGATGGCAAGTGAGTGAGGCCAATGTTGCTGCAAGAATGACCTTCCAACTCTTCCAAGTTAAAATCGGAGAAAATCACTACTAAAGTGTGCAATGTATTGCTACTGGTAATGACACAAAAACTACAACTGATCACAACACACCATTTCATGGTGATGACACTGTTGGGTTTCATCTGTAAGATGAGGGTAGCAGTTAACTGCTAATTGGAAACCAAGAGACTCTTCTCCCTTTTTCCAGATTTGGCCACAGCGAAATTAAAATTCTTATATGAGGGGAGTGAATACTGGGAATCCACAGTGGGTCTACAAACCACCATTATTACAAGATACTTGGAGGCAGGAATGGGAGGGGAGGATGGGTGGGGAGATGGTGGGAGGGAAGACAGGTAGAAGGATGGGTGGGAAGAGAGATGGGAGAAGAGATGGAAAAATAGATGGCAGGACAGGAGCGAGAACAGGTGGGAGGATGGATGGGAGGACACACAGGAGGATGGGTCAGAGGATGGGCAAGAGAATGAGTGACAGGAGAGAAGGGAGGGCAAGTGGGAGGATGGATGGGAGGACAGGCAGGAGGATGGGTCAGAGGATGGGTAACAGAATGAGTGAGAGGAGAGAAGGGAGGGCAGGTGGGAGGATGGATGGGAGGACAGACAGGAGGATGGGTCAGAAGATGGGTAAGAGAATGAGTGAGAGGAGAGAAGGGAGGGCAGGTGGGAGGATGGATGGGAGGACAGACAGGAGGATGGGTTAGAGGATGGGTAACAGAATGAGTGAGAGGAGAGAAGGGAGGGCAGATGGGAGCATGGTGGGAGGATGGTGAGAGGATGGGTGGGAGGATGGGCTCAAAGATGGGTGAGAGGACAGGTGGGAAGACTGGTGGGAGACTAGATGGAAGGATGAGTCGGGGATGGGTGGGAGGACAGATGAAAAGATGAGTGAGAGGCTAGATAAAGAATTTCTAGAAGACTCAACATACTGGCAGAATCATCTATGCTGTTCAACCAAGAGTTATTGAGGCTTCCTGAATTTATATGCTTCCCTTTTTCACCTGCTCTGAAGAGAGGACAAGGCAGGGTAAGCCTTATTTTTCAGTTGTGATGGTACAGAAAGCCTTCCCCAAATACATGCAGGGCACACTCCACAGCAGTGAGCCTCTAAGTTCGAGTCCTGGGAGGACTGTCTCCATTTGACCAACAGCAGGCAAGCAGATTCAGAAGTGAACAAGCTGTGGCCAGGTCACTCTACCATCATCCTCAACTGCAGGCTGTCAATGTCCTTGGAATGGGGAAGTGGGAGATTAGGTGTGCTGTGGTACCAAGTGAGGTCTGCCCTGCCAGACTTTACTTTCCCCTCGAGGGAGCCAGACAAGCTCGGAGGATACGTCCTCTGGGAATGGGAGTGGACTTGTCCCTCCATCACTGAGTGAAGAAGCCCTCTGGGCTTGACTTCAGCCCTGTCCGTGCTGTTTTCTTGATCTGTCTGTCTTTGTACCCTAGTCCCGGAAAGGAGAAAAGATTTGGGGCCTCAAGTAAGTGAATGACTTTCTTCAGAGTGTCAGTGGTTGCTAAGAAACGAGTGGGATAAGAAATGGAAACCATCAAATCACTCCTAAAAATAACCCAATGGACTGAGTTTACTTGTGACCTGCAGCAGCTGCATGGCACAAATCTCATTGAGCACCAAGCAGAAAGGAGACTACTTCCTCGGCCCATGCATGCATGAGCTTCAGCTCTGACTACGCAGCCTGTTTCTGGGAAGTGTCCTTTATGCAGACACTTCACAAATGTTCCCAGCCCTTCACAACCCTGGTTCCCCCCTCCCCGCCTGGGGCACTATCACAATGACACTGTAGCACAGGGATGACCAACAGCCCACTGCTGCCTCTTTCCCCTCTCCCTGCTAAAGAATTGGCTGCCCACACGGGAGGGGCTGGAGGGCCCGGTCCTGGCGGCTCTATTGTTGGAAGAGTGAGCCACTGTCTATGTAGCAGGAGGTAAGAACACGTCTAGATGACTCAGACATAATCAGACACTAGGACAAAAGAGTTAGTTTCCTTTTGGACAGCCGAGGTGGCATGTCCACCACCTGCCTCAGTAGGAAAGGAGGAGAGGGTATCACAGGGCAGAGGGAACAGGGAAAAACAAAATCAAACTCTTTCAGTGACACTAATGCACTGAGGTGGCCAGGACTCTACTCCCTCTTAGTTATTTCCTTTTTATAAGGGAAGGCAATTTTCAAGTATAAAGACAGAGGCTGTCTCTATCATAGGCAAAATGATAAAGTACATTTTGTCACCAAGTCAAGCACACCTTCTGAACTCTTTTACTCTTCAAAAAGGCACCAAATCTGAGCTTCCCTCTAGGTTTCTTATATTTAAGCTACTTGGAATAAAGAGAAAGTCTAAATGCAGGACTGCCATGTAGGGTTGTGCAGGTTACTCACTGCACAAAGATACTTGGACAAGAGGACGAGCTGGGGCTGACAAAGCCCAACACTCAGCAAACACACTCGGTGTGGGGCTACCTCATTCTGTAGGAAGGGGTATCTTTCTTAAACCATACAGAGGCACCATATGGGTTGGCAGAGGTCCTGTCTGAAAGTAATGCAAAGAGGTAGGAAGGTTATTTGGGAGTCAGCTAAGAGGTTTGGGATCTAGTTTCATCTTGGTCCCTTAAATCACCTTGGGCAGATTACTTAGCCATTCCACATGTATATTTCTTCACCTTCATGGCATAAAAGGAGCTTACAGTTCCTGTCCTCTCCCTAGTACAGGGCTGCTGTGATGAATAAATAAAGCTTCAGCTGGTTGCTTAGTTCAGGTGCTTGGCGTATGGAGCTGATGCAGCTCAGACAAACCATTAACCTTCTTTACCATGAGTCAGCGCCACCCTAGGAGGAGCCCAGCCCTGCAGCTCACAGGAGGACCTTCAGCCACGAGAGCTCTGCAGGACACTGGGATTTGATCACAACACTGCAAGACCCAGGGCATTAAGAGCTCACGTGAGAGGCAAGGGGCTGAGAGAGTGAGAAGCTGTTCAGACAGTGACAAAAACATCCCCACGGAATGCTGGGAACTGCCAGCCAGACGGGAGCAGATGGGTAGAGGCCTCCAGCCTTTTCTGCTGCAATGATGTAGTCTGGCCCCTTGAAGTCTTATGATGACAGTTTTTATTTATTTTTTGGGGGGTGGGAGGTGAAGATTAGAGCTAGGAGCACATCTCCTCTCTGGGCCTAGAAGGCATTTCAGCCACTAGGCTCCAGGGTCTGTTATCCAGGGAAGCCGAGCTATCATAGCAACCTCTGGCCAAGTTTTCCTATTCTGGTTTCAGGGGACAGGAGCACTGGGACGTGGGTGTGTGGGTGTTGCAGTGGCAGGATCAGGCTTTGTGAATGACTCATCTGGAAGCACAGCTGGTTTTGGACGGGGAGGGGACTTTTTGTGGAGGAAGCTGCTGGCTCCAGCAAGGGGCCCTGACTTGGCTCCGTGGCCCAGCACTCACCTCTCCACCCAGTTCTTGTAGCTGGGGATGTCCTTGGCATACAGCAGCTTGTTGGAGGGTGAGTCCTTGCCCAGCCGGTGCTCTGACGTGGAGCAAGAGTCCATGAAGGTCTGAGCCACCACAGAGAGGCAGGCGTCTGTGATGCTGTTTTTATGGATGTCAAACACAAACTGCGGGTTCTTGATCATGTTGACCCAAAACCGCAGGGGCAGGCTGCGTGGAAGGAAGAGGCAGACAGTCAGGGGAGACGGCGCAGTGGGGCTGCGGCGTGGGTAGGAGGGGTCTCTGGAGAAGGAGAGAAGCCTGGGGAACTAATAGAACTTAAGAGCCTTCTCTATGCTGGGGACGGGATGTGCCCAGGAAGGGAGGTAAGGCAGGTCTGCAGGGCCCCAATTTACCTTCCAGGAAACTGAGAACTGCCAAGGCTGAATAATTCATCCAGAGATATAATCTTGGTAGGTACTTGAGAGGACTTGATACCCAGCCTTGGTGGCAGGGCTCATCATCTTCCCTTTGGCCTAAAAGGCAGCTTTGATGTGTGCTATAAAGTGGAATTTCTAACTCTGTCTGTCTGCTCCTAAGCCTGATACAAGAGTATCCAGTTGGCAAACTTTAAGGAATTGCTTGGAATCTAGGCTTCGTATCTGACGCTCTGCCATCTACTGTATGACTTGGCAGAAGTCACACCCTTCCTCCCTGCCTGGGCCTCTCAGCCTACTCCTACTGGGGCTGAGAAGTACAGTGTAGCTGACTGATTTTTCATTTCTAAGCTGGCAGGCTTGAAAACCCACATTCACCCACCTCATGGGCCCCATCGTATTCCCTCTTTCCCCTCCCTGCTTCTTCTGGTTGGCACCTCCTGCCCACCAGGAACTGTGCTTGCAATTGGGGATACAGTGATGAATGAGACACATCCTCTGCCCTCAAGAAGCCTGCATTGTGATAGGTTCATGGAAAGGCAGACATGAAACCGACTACATGCCGGGAGGACTGTTGGTGCTAGGACCAGAGATGTGTAGGGTCCAACATGGGACCAAGGGAATCATCAAGTCTACCCAGAGGGCAGTGTCCAGAATGCCTTCATAAAGGGGGCACTTGATGGTGGGAGTTTTAAAACTTGTGTAAGTCTTTCTTTCTTTCCTTCCTTCCCTTTCTTCCCTTCTCTTGCCCTGCCCTGCTCCGCCTTGCCTTGCCTTGTCTTCTCTTTCTCTTTCTTTCTCTCTCTCTCTTTCTTTCTTTCTTTTGATGGAGTTTTGCTCATCAGGCTGGAGTGCAGTAGGGCAATCTCAGCTCACTGCAACCTCAGTCTCCTGGGTTCAAGTGATTCTTGAATCCTCAGTCTCCCGGGTTCAGAAGTGATTCTTCTGCCTCAGCCTCCTGAGTAGCTGGGACTACAATCACCCATCACCACACTCGACTAATTTTTATATTTTTAGTATGATGGGGTTTCATCATGTTGGCCAGGCTGAACTTAAACTCCTGATCTCAGTTGATCTGCCCACCTCGGCATCCCAAAGTGTTGGGATTACAAGGCGTGAGCCACCGTGCCAGGCCTATGTGTTTCTTAGCAGGGTGAGGCCTGGAGGAATGGGGTGGAGGATGGGTTGCACACAGGAAATCTGCATCAACAAAGACAAAGAGGGAAAAGTGTGCCCTGCAGTCTGCTATTGTTAACCTGTTGCTTAAAATGTCCCAATCCTGGGACACTGGGAGAAACTGCCGTCTGCCCCTTTTGGCTGTAGCCATCCCTGTGGGCTCTAATCCTATGGCTTCCAAACAGCCTGCTGGGACGCAGGTGGGAAAGAGGACTAGGCACCATGCAAGGGATTGCTTACTTCCTTCCCTCTGCTCCCACCTCTGCCTCCTGCCATTTCCCCTGATGTTTTATTGTTGTTTTGGTTGTTGTTCTCACTGATGGTAATAGTTAGAATGTTAATTATGTGCTTGGCTTGCTTCTTAGAACTTAAACTCTTTGAATTACATCATTTCAATAGAACCAGTACAATATTTCTATACTTGTTCTATCTCCCAGCAGCCAGCAGGTACAAATAACAAATGCTATTAATACAGGAAAACCTAATGTTCAAGACTGCCAATCAGTCGACAAGGATCTATTAAGTTCCTACAAAGTGTGCAGGGCGGGACTCAGGCAGGCAGCATTGAGGTCTGACAATGTTTGGCGGTGTTTCCTTCATCCCTGGAAATCCCTAATAGGAAATAATGGGATGGTGTCCAGAAAAACTCAGAGAGCCACAACACCCAGGTGAAAGCAGGGGTCACTCCAGCTGCCCAGGCTTCCTGACAGCTGGGGTCAGAGCCCTGAATGGAGGACTCACGACTTCTCAGCTAATGAAGTCTCTGTTCATATCTTCCTGTTGTTCCAGAAGTTGCACCCAGGAATAGGGACTCTGAGAGTCCACATTTGCCCTGCTGGTTTTTTCTCCCCTATGCTCCCTGGTCCTCAAGCCAGTTTTGCTGACAGGTACAGCAAACAGGGAAGCCATAGCACTCACCCAAGGCTCCCGCCTAATGAAATATTAGCATATTATTAACATTAGTGGTGGCACTAATCTCTGGTTGATTGCAGCCACTCAGGCTAAATGAGCAGGAGGTTTATTTAAAAGAGAAGAGGTAGGGAACTGTGGAAGAAGAGGGTGGGGAGAGGGTGGGTTACACCTTGGGCCAGGAATAAAAAAATAATCACTTTTCAATCAGAGACAATTAACTCCAAGTCAATATGCAGATCTTAAAATTCCCAGACTTACTGTGTCTTGCTCAGCATAGCAACATATCAAGTCAGGGTTGGGGGAAAGTGTCCTTTGATGGGAGAACTTGAGCCTAGCAGGACTGTCTACTTCCTGGGGTTTCCTTTGCTCAGACCTGAGTACTTGGAAGAGCTGGGATCCAAGGATTTGGCTCTACTCCAAGGACATTATGGCACCCCTGGAGGTGTCCTCACCCCAGCAGGAGGGACGGGGTGAAAACAAATGGTTTGGATATCATTGTAGGTGATATTCCTGCAATGTGCTACTAAAAGCAGGTAGAAATGTTTAGAAATACCCAACTTTCTCCAGCTAGGACCAAGAGAAGTTCTGGGCAGAGCATTTTTTTTAATCTTCTGAAGGCTGCTAACATTCAGTGGAGGCAGTAAGTAGGAAGACTCACTGACAGAAGCAGATTGGTAGGCTGGGGACATGCCCCACCAAACAGCTCCCAGTAGTCATGCCAAGAAGTCTAGAAGTCTAGGAGAGTTAAACGCATCTTACCTAGAGGCAGGTCCTGGGAGATATTAGACCCAGCACAGCTTTCAAAGGAGGAAATCGCATCACCCAGTTTTGCTACACTGAGTGAGCAATCTAGATTTTTGAGTCTTATTGAGAAAGTTTGGAAGAACCCCAGCATGAAGGTCTTCTCTCACCAGGAGTTAATGTGGGAGCAAACCCCACACTTCAGTTCTGTGGTCTCAACCTTGGTTCCTGCCTGGTTTTTCATATTCAGCAGGGATAGTCTCTTCTCCTGGTGAAGAAGATGAGGAGCCAGAGCATACTACATTTAACACAGTTTTGGTACCAAAGTCTGACTTCTGCCTTCATCTGTGCATTGCTTTGGGGCCTGGGGCTAGGTGCCAGGGTGCTTGGCTGAGCTCTAATGCCTTGCCCATCCTAGCAGTTGTCAGTGCTGGGCAACAGGCCCACACTGCCTCAGAAGAATGATCTGGGGAAGAAGAGCCTGGGACAGGCACCATGGAAAAGCTGCAGGGAGGCTGTTCTGGAACTGATGGGACAAAGGATAAGCCAGCTTTGCCTCAGGTAGAGCTCTCAACCAGAGACCACCTTGGCCCTGCATCTCATCAATAATTACTGAGACCCAGCTTTACGCAAGGTTCCATACTAAGTGCTGAATACTGATGTGAGCTCTTGAAATTTCAACCTCAAATACAAATTACTCACAAGTGAAAGGAAGGATGCTCCATGCTAAAAGGACAGAGGGGGTCATAGGGGAGAACACCTAGAGTGTCAGTTAGTACTTGGAGAATCCTGTTGTCTCAAAGGAAGACATAGTGGTTAAGGGCAGGTCTCTTCACCACACAGAACTTGGAAAAGGAGGTAATGGGAAGAGAGCAACTGCTTGAACAGAATACGAATGCCCTTTGTTCACCTGGTTGTTTCCTAGGTGTGTTTCAAAACTGCTTGCAAGTTACTGTTAGATGTTGCCCTTCTAAGATCCGGTTGCACATGACACATTCTCCATCTTCCACAGCATTTGTCCCACACTACCTTGCCTCTCACCCTCATCTGTCAGTTCTTTGAGGGCAGGGGCCATGTCTGATTAGCTCATGATCCTCAGTGTCTAGCATAATCACAGGCACCCAGGAGGTACTTGGATGGGAGAGTGTCCTGGCCGTGACATTTGGCATATTATTTCTTGCTTCTTCACCTGGTTCAATAAATGTTTGTTAACTGACTAAGTGATAGGAAAGAAAGATGCACAGACAGATTTTACTAGAGGGAAGTGAAAGAGGGAATGAGCACAAAAATCTAGGAAGAGTGGATGGGGAGGACCAGAGAATGTGCCTGCTGAGAGTCCCTGTTGATGAAAACAGACTCTGGCCAGCCCTTCTCCTGGAGGCCCAGAGTCCCATCACCATTGACTCAAGGCTGGGTGGGCTCAGGGCTCCCGATGTACCCCCTGCCCTCCCTTCACTCACCAATTGCTCTTCCAGGTATGGCGGACGTGTGGGTCATGAATGCCATGCTTATCAGCCTGCTCATCCAGGAAGTCAAACATGTACTTGATGGCCAGGGGCAGGGCAGAGCCACGGTGTGCCGTGCTGAAGATGGTCTCAAAGAGGTCATCCACAAACTTCTGCAGTGTGCCCTGGAGAGGTGGGATATGTCCAGACACAGCTCAACTCACGTAGTTCTGAGGATGGCTTTTAAAACCTGCCTCACAGACCTAGGCAGGGGAGGATGGTATACAGTCCACCCCGCTTGGGTGAAATTGGGTAAGTCCATGTAAATCATTTTTCCCATTTCGTCTGTCTCTAACAGCTTTAAATTTCCCCTGCACAAGGAAAAGAGATATAACCCTGATGACTGGACCTACGTAAGGCTTCCTCTGCCAACAACACGGTTTGGTTGAACACCCTCTGGCGGTGTTATTTTAGCACTTTTCACAAATGCTAATGAACACTCACTTGGTTAGAGCAGACAAACACAATCTGCTGGTTTTGTTTGGGCATTACTCACACTGGCTAATGAACAGTGACTCACTTGGCTCTGCAGAGAGCAGAGCTGAGCCCAGTCTCAGGAGTGAAAGACTAGCACTGCAGGTAAGCAATGTTCCCAGAACCAGGATTACAAATGGTGCCTGGGGTCAGGCACGGTGGCTCACACTTGTAATCCCAGGTTTTGGGAGTCAGAGGCAGGCGGATCATTTGAGGCCAGGAGTTTAAGACCAGCCTGGCCAACATGGTGAAACCCCACCTCTACTAAAAATACAAAAAAAAAAAAAAATTAGCCAGGTGTGGTGGTGCATCCCTGTAGTTTCCGCTACTTGGGAGGCCGAGGCAGGAGGATTGCTTGAACCTGGGAGGAGGAGGTTGCAGTGAGCAGAGATTGCACCACTGCAGTCCAGCCTGGGTGACAGAACAAGACTCTGTCTCAAAAACAAAAAAAAGAAAAAAGAAAAAAAGAAAAAAAGAAATGGTGCCTGAGAAGTCACTGATGGAGCCCTGACTTCCCCCACTTGAGATTGTAGAGGATACCCCAGAGAGGAAACCATTCTTTTATAAGGCATGGCAGAAGAATGTGAAAAGAGGCAGTCAGAGTCTCAGCATTTCAGAAGGGCATGGAGAAGGGATAGAAACAAATCTTCAGATTGCATGCCAACACCAATGTATTGGTGGGGTTTTCCTGGAGCGCTGGATTGAGAAGGATTCTGAGGTTTGGTACAGGGGCTGATCAGCAGTGCCTCCTGGGGTGGATAAGAGTGGGCACCAGCACCAATGCTGGGTACTGGCTACTCTGGCATTTCTGTGGGCTGACGAAGTCCCTCTTCATAGCCTCTGGGCTCCCTGCACCCAGTTCTCAAGTCTGATACCTTAGTGGCCAGGAGTCGGGTCAGGTAGATTTCGGACACCATCTTGCTCCCCCGGTCCCCCTCTTTCTGGTCTCCATGCTCATGGTTCTTCACTAGATGCCACATCTTGACTCCACTCTCCAGGTCAGGAGTGATCATAGGTGTCCGTGAGCGGAGGCTGTCAGGGCTGCCCGTGTACCGGATCATGTTTTCTGCCGAGGCAAGGATCACCCCCAAATGTATGTGAGGCCACAAGGCCTTAGCCCATCACCTTACCATGCATCCCTCACTCTGGCGGAAGCCAACGACTGTCTGATCATTCCTGCCGTTGGCCGGTGCTGTCACCTTGCCTTGGTTTGGTGCATTCCCTGAAACTGGGATGCTTTTCTCACCACCTCCAGGAAACTATCTGTGGCTAATTCTACCCACTCAGATCTCCCCCTCCTTCCTGTACTCTGCATCGTGTCAACCCTTAATTATTCAATTTGTAAAAAATATAAGCTTGTACTTTTTTAACGCTTTTCCTTGTTAGAGTTCTCAAGTCATGTCTCAGGATGAGTTCTGTGCAGCCAATTAAGTACACACTTAAGAGCAGGTAGCCTGTCTCCCTTAATAACCGCTGATCGGATGAGTAATCGCCTGGTAACCTGCTCACCTTCGTCTGTCCTCCCCTCTGGCCTGTGCCAAATTATTCCTGTTTATTTGCTGAAACTCCTGCCAGTGTTTGTGAAGTGTTGTGAAATGAGTACTGAGCAGGAAAATGAAATGGCGGTCCTACTGTGTGCAGGAACTATTCTCTGTATTCATCTATTTATTATCTAGAATGACCCTGTTCAGTCAGTAGATTTTTCAATCTCTTCTTTTGGTAAATAAATAAATAACCAAGGCTCATAGTGGTCAGATGACTAGCCCCAAAGCACACAGATAGGGCAGAACAGGGCTCCTTCTGGCTTCTATCCCACCTCCAGCACCCTCTCCCCACCACTGCAGAGCCTTGCACCTGGTCTGTACCTGCACTCCACTGCAAAATAACAGTGGCTCTTACAAATCATTTAGCCTCTGTGCACCTGAGTTATAATGTACTAATATGCATAATAGGGGGAAATAATAATTATTTAATTCACTAGATTGTTATGAACATGATGTGAGATAATAGCTATCACACAAGGAAAGGCATCTTACAGCCTGGAAGACATTCCATGAAAGTTGGCTTTACTCTTTTGCTCATGGATGAAGGTCTCACTTATGCATCAGAGTGACGGACTGAAACCAGGGGCCTCTTCCCCCACCTGGCTCTCTTCCCTGATGGTCAGCCTTTCTGATGCCCCAGTTCCCCTTCTCCAAGAGTCTCCTGCCTTCTGGCTATGCTGTTGTCATGACAACAGCTGCTCAGGACACCCGGGCCTCCCCAGGACACTCGGTGGGATCTTACCATATTTACTCGCTGAGGTCCTGGAGACGGTGGAGTTGTTCACTGCGTTATAGGCTGTCACCTGCTTGGACACTAATGCCACCACGGAACCATCTGGCACCTACAGGAAAAAAGCTTCTCAGGGCCTGGGCACAGCAGCTCTGCCACTCCAGGAAATAAGGACAAATCAGGATGAACTTGGCACTAAGGGGCAATTGGTGCCTTACTGGAGAACTAGGGGACTTTGGAGGCTGTCAGCTTTCCTTGGAGCAAAACAAGACACAGATCTGGATACTGACTAGTGTTCTGTTTTGTGGCTTCTCTCGGAGTAACTCCTGGCAAGAGCTCCTCCCTAGCATTCTCAATCCCAGTGCTTCCCTGGAAGATGACCCAGCCTTAAATGCCCAGAGGAACTTCTCAGGAGGGCCTTCCTTGGGGACTCTGCCCGTGCCCCTGCAGAAAGTGTGCATGTCAGCATGTTATCTCCAAAGAGGTCAGGGTTTCCTGGCTTCTTGGCTGGGAGACATCAATTTCCTCTGGAGCACTAACGGAACATGGAGTGCTGTTGAGGGGCTTGCTGTCTAGCCCTGTTATTCCAGGACAATGATTTCCAGGGCAAGGGACTTGTAGTTGGCTAGCTCCTCCCCTTTCCACATTCCCCTCACCTGGTAGTGGGCCAGCGTGTTCAGTCGTTTCCAATCATTCTCAATCTTGGTGGTGATGTCTTCATCCTGCAAGATCATCCTTGCCCCACTTCCTTGTCGCCACTCTGCCAAGAGAGCAGTGGCATCTCAGAGAGGCCCTCTGACCCCTCCTGTGGGGAAGCTGAGGACCCCTGTGTAGGTAACCTATGCAGTGCTAGCTCAAGGGTGTATCCATTGTAAGTGCTAGCACATGCTCCTGTGAAAACGGAGTGCCAAAGCTCTCAACGCAGAGAGGCCCTGAGTTCCAGTTCTGGTTCTGATCCCAACAAACTATGTGACCAAAATGGGGCTAACATCACTTACCCACCCCTGCCCATCTGCTTGCTAGGAATGGCTACATCTGTAAAAAGTAGATGCTCAAAAAGTATTAGCCAAACAAAAGGGGCACATAATAAAACACTAAGCTTTGACAAAGCACGAGGCAAATGCAAAGTGGCATGGTTGTGGTAGCGTGGCTTGTTTGCTTGATTGGAAGCTCTTAGAGCTGACGAAATCAAGGCTGTAGGCTCAGTCACTGAACAGCCCCAGATCTGCTCCAGGGGTGCATGCCATAGGGTGAAACTGGCAGGTGTGTCACCCTTGTCAGGGAGATTGGGTCAAAGAGTGTGGAAAAAATCAGCAAAACCCATTCTCATGCCCATGAGCGTCCCCTTCCCCACAAAGTTGATGAAATGATATCAACGTTATAATCTATCCAACACCTAATTATTTGATGTTACAAGGATATACTTACATCCCCATATTATTCTCCTGGGCCCAAACACCTACAATACATGGGCTTACTGATGGATCACACATGGGGAAATGGGAGGCTGTTTCTCATCAACCAAATCCCCACCACAATACTTGGTACAAATCACATGTAGGCGCAGAAGTGCACATTCCTATCTTGAAATGTACACGCATGAAAATCCATGTGCATGTCAGACACACATAAACTCATGCAGCACACACATGTATGAGCTCATGCATGCACACATACCATTCTCATGGACACACACCAGAAAGGAGAAACAGCCTCTTAAATTAAAATGCAACATGTGTTCCAGCCAAGAAGCCAAACATTTGGTTTCCAGGCAGCCCAGATCCTGCTCAATGCCTCTCAGATGCTGATACTTCTGAAATGTGCAAAGAATGCTGGGCTCATTCAGAGTGTGGTTAGTTGCTGGATTAAGTGGCCTGGCAGTCACTGCTTGACCCACCAGGGATTTCTTCCTATGTCTCACAGAGCCACATGTTCAGATTCTCTTCCTTGTTTCCCTCCTGCCAAGGCTGGTCCACATTTGTGGCAGAGAGCACCAATTCCTCCCTGCATTGTGCATTTGTTGTGGTCTGTGCTGCCAATCCCATTTCACAGATGGCATGCCCTTTGGAATAACAGAGATGCTCCTAAAATCTAAGCCCCTTGCCTCCAGTTCCTGGGGCTCCAGTCCCTGGGGCTTCCCTGCTGCCTAATTTAGAGCTTAGCTTCACGTCAGGTGGTCAAAGGAATGAAAGCATAGAGACTACATGCTTGCTTACTGGAGCAAGAAGCCTCTGGGGCCCATCCATCCCTTAGTCTGGTGGATGTCACAGCTGGGATTGCTCATGGTGATTACGGTCTGGGGCAGTTAGGCTAACGGGCAAAGGGGAAAATGCCTCACTGAGGTATCTGGTCACTAGCATTTTTGCTTGTTATTGTGTTGTTTGGTTTCTTGAGTTTTTTTGTTTTGTTTTTTATTTTATGGAGGTATGCATGCATGCACTTCTGAGTGGCTGGAGCAAAGGAAGAGGAATCTCTCCAAGTTGGCCAGACAGCTGATGTGCTGTGCAGTTGGATGCTGGCGGACACCAGTCTGGGTTGGAGAGTATATGTCAGTGAGTCTCCCCCGCTTGCATAGTGAGCGGCACCTGGTTAAGTCAGAGGCTGCATGTGGTGGAGGAACAGCTGTAAGGCACAACACACAAGGGAGCCAGCTTCTGCTTTCCTCATATTTGGGCTAGGGAGAGGGATGCAATGAACTCAGCTCTGGACACTAAGTCCTCTGGCTGGGCCCCAAGGGAGTCTCCTCCACTGAAGTGACTATGGGGCTTGCTAGGACTAGAAGGAGAAGGTGCCAGTGGAGAGACAGCCCTCTAGCTTAGCAGCTGCAGTGGTACTCCTTGCTGATAAAGAATTGTAGCACATCTCAGTAGCATCCGAATAAACTACATGGCCTGGTAAATTAGGCAATGACAGTTGGTGACTGATTCTGGGCGCCAGGGCAGGTCTTCTTCCATGATGTACAACTCCCCTTCGAGCTGTGCAGTGCACAGCCTGGGCGGCCATACTCAACAACCCTGTCTGAGTCATGCCCAGAAATTATGAGAATGAGAATGAGAGTCCACCTACCTCCATGCCCCTATCCAAAAAGACTGGGTAGAGGATGGTCATGTCTCCTTGGGACTTATCTCAAAAAGTCAAGAATGTTCCCCCAAAAGCCAATATACAGAGAGGGGGCTGAAATCAAGGGGTACACTTAGCTTGCTTTTAGATCACTCAAGCTTATTGTTTTGTTATCTCCTAGACAGAAAAAAAACTGCTGACTATGTGCTTTTTTTCTGAAATATCAGAAAGGTGAAAGAAGAAGAAGAAAGGAGAAAGAAGAAAAAGAGAAGGAAGAAGAAGAGGAAGAATAAGAGGAGGAAGAAGAGGAGGATGATGAGGAAGAAGAAGGAGGAGGAAGAGGAGGAGGAGGAGGAGGAGAAGGGGAAGGGGGAGAAAAGGAAGAGGAAGGAGAAGGAGAAGAAGAAAGTAGTAGTTGAAATTATTGCTTTGTAGCATCTACAACCTAGTCCTGATGAAAGAGAGCTCAGAGGGATGGGCAGCTGGTATAGGCAGCTCCATTCCTGAGGCTTTCAGGAAAGAAGAAAGGATCACAAGTAGACCACCCAGCTGAACACGGAATGGAGGAGAGAGGGTGGAGTATAACTGGTGGGCAGCCCCACATTCCCTGGCACAGAATAATTCAAGTAGGCTGACAAGGAAAGCCAACCCTTAATGTCACTCTTCTCTGCCCAAATTCCTTACTTTTACCCTGTTGGCCAGAACCCACTTTCACTTCCATGCTTACCTGCCCTCCTTCCTTTCCTGAAACCCCTTCTTCAGGCCAGTTATGGTCTCTATTTTCCCTAGACTCATCACGGAATGTCTCAAGAAGATCAGATAGTGGGTATGGGCTCAGCTTTCTGGAGTGCTCTTGTTACAACTTCCTGACCTTCTCTCAATAGAAGTCTGAGCCATAGAGCTCTATTGAGTAAAGCAGGGGCCAGGAAAAGCCAAGGTCAAAGGCCATCGCAGGTGCCTTCCCTCTAGCCCAGGAGCAGTGCCTTCTCCTGAGGTGCATGGCTGGGCTCATAAAATCTCATCCCCACCCCAGAAGTAAAGATCTCAAGGTCAGGTTGAGTGAGCTGAGGATGAGACAGCCCTGCCACCTTAGATATGAAGGCCAGCACCCTGGTCCTCTCATGGTATGCACGGCTGGCTGAATCAGCCTCAGGAGGCCCTCTGTGAGGGTGGTATCTAATTTTGTGCTTTGTTGCATATTCAATGTGTGCTTAGTTTTAATAACAGTAATGAAAATAAATAGAACCCAGGTCCCCCAGTGCTTGGTCCAGCCCTCTTTTCACCAGATGGGCTCCTTCTGTCTTGCCTATAAAAATATCACTAAAAATATCTCTCTTTTGAGTCTCTACCTTGCTCCGTAGGAGGTGACCACATTAGGACCAGTCGAGAGGCAATGTCACAGCTCAGCCAATGACCAGAGTCCTCCCATGAAGGCTGAGCCTTTTGGCCTTTTGCCTGCCCATAGGGCACAGTGAGAAGCCGGAAAATACCTGCCAGGCACCAAATGCTATGAGATGCTGAGCTCAGAGAGGGCTGAAGCAAATCCTGGGGCAGAGTGACTCCTCACAAACACCTGCTCCTACAAAAGAGGACACCTAGAGTCCCATCTCACAAGACGCAGTCTCCATGGTCAGAACCCAGGTCCAGGACGTGTTGCAGCTCCATGCTCACTCATTCATCAAAGAACACTTACTCTGTGCCCCTAGTGTGCTGGGCACTGCCAGTTGGGCATGAGAGGTAGTTAAACAAGAAAACAGAGTAAAACATAAACCCTTGCCCTTGAAGACTCCTTGTGTGGAGAGGCTGTGCAGGAGCCCAGTGGTCAGGGCAGGGGTGAGACAGGGAGGAAGAGCTACAGGGAACTGGAGGAAAGGGCTGCCCAGGTTAAATTGTGAAGGATGAGTGGGCATTTGCTGGCTGGCCAGGGGGATAAGTGTTCTGGTCCAAAGGTGACACTCATGCCACAGTTCTAGGGATCGATGAGTCTGAGCAGGAGAAAGTTGAAAGGAGAGGCTGGAGAGGTGTAGGGAGGTCAGGACCTGAGTTAAGAAAGATCCAGCATGCCTTGCCAAGGTATCTGGGGCTGAGCTGAGGCCATCGAGACAGAGCAGAGAGGGGATAAGGAGAGGAGAGCATTATTAGAGGGACAAAGAGGCATGAGCCCTGCCCGGATGGCCGTCTTTGTTCAAAGCAGAAGTAGCATTGAGGACCTAAGCTAAGCCAGTGTGGAAGGGGTGTGGGTTTCAGGGACGCTCAGGAGATGGCTGTGGAGACGTGTTTCAGGGATGCTTAGGGGTGTGGGTTTCAGGGATGCTCAGAAGATGGCCAGGTCGTGCTTGCAGAGTCTCTAGGAAGGGGAGGTAGAGGGAACCTGGCTTGCCTCCAAGTGTGTGGAGATCCATGTAATTGGCAGTGGGAAGCTGAGATCCTCCGCAGGCCAACCTGGAAGGAGACGCTGGCATGGAGGACCCCACTGGTCTGACTCTTGAAGAGTCCCGTACCCACCAGTAGGTGCCATGCTAAGAGGCAAACTCTCCCCAGGGTGCACAGCACCTTGTAGTTCTGGCCCTCACAGTGTAGATATGCAGGTGGGTGCAAGGGCACCCACACATGCACACACACACATGCACGCACACACACACACGTGCACACACACGCGCGCACACACACAGGCACACACACAGGCACATGCACATGCAT